TGGGTTCGACCAGTCAACCAATTACAAATCCATGTAACAGTTACTTTCCCAACTGGCTCAGGCCAAAACCAACTGCTGCAGTCTATCCTATCCTGTGTGTTTCTCCATATTAGTAACTTTTGCTATCTTAACTACGCTCAGACTGTAGCTATACAGCAGAATTAAAGCAGTTTGACACCACTTTAACTGCCATGGCTCTATCCTACAGAATCATGGGATTTGCAGTTTCATGAGACCCTACAGCTCTCTGACAGAGGAGGCTGAATATCTCACCAAACTAGAAATCCCAGGATTCTAATTTGGGCTCATCTGCACTTTATGACCAGGAATCCTAGAATCATGAAGTTGGAAGAAACAACAAGGGCCATCCAGTCCAACCCTCCTGCCATGCAGGAACTCACAATCAAAGCACATAGAGTTATCCGGTCATCATTTCCCAGCACCCCCAATCTGCAGTGCCTCAGCAGCCTTTCTGTTGGGGTGCTGCCAGGCTTAAGGGGTAAGGTTTGGGGGTTGTGTTTGGTCATTAACAACCATAAACCTGAATCCCCAAAGTTGCCGGTTGTTTCTGACTTATGGCAACTCTAGATGAACCTATCACAGGGTTTTCTGGGGCTGAGAGTGTGTGACTCACCCAAGGTTGACCAATGGGTTTCCATGGCCAAGCGAGGAATTGAACCTTAATCTCCAGAATCATTGTCCAATGCTCCAACCACTAAACCATTCTCAGCCCCAGAAAACCCTGTGATGGGTTCACCTAGAGTCGCCATAAGTCAGAAACAACTTGAAGGCACACAACAGCATGGCAACCCATGGTGTCCGAATGACGTCAGTGTTGGCATCATGCCGGGGAGTTGTTTCACAATTGGAGTGCCACAACAGAGAAGACCTTGCTCCCCAACTCCTCTTACATTGGGATACAGAGGAGGGTTCAGAGAATGGTGGAGTCTCCTTCCTTGGAGGTCTTTAAACAGAGGCTAATGGCCATGGACGGGTGGGATTCGGGATTTTATGTTCTGTTTAATATATCTGTATGGAAATTTTAATGTTGTAAGCCGCCCTGATTGCTCTGCAGAGGGGCGGGATATAAATTATTATTATTATTATTATTATTATTATTATTATTATTATTATTATTATTATTATTATGGCCATCTGTCAACAAGTGCTTTGATTGTGTGTTCTTTCTACCATTTGTGGTGGAAATGTAAAATTACTATAACACAATACGGGAATGAATGATAGAAATTCTACAGATAAAGATTCCATTTAGTCCAGGACTCTTTTTGTTAAATATGACATATGATATAGCCAAAAAGGAAGAAAAAAAAAACCAGTATAGAAGAATAATACTATGTATGATAACAGCAGCTAGGATCCTTTTTGCCAAATACTGGAAAAACCAACATATACCTACCAAAGAGGATTGGTTAATAAAATGAAAGGAGGCAATGGACATGGACATACAAGAGAAAGCAGTAGATAAGATAAAACAAGAATGGACCCCAGTAAAAAAGTAATAATAATACTGGGCTAAAAAGTGGACACGCATAGGAAAAATGGATAATATCCAGCAAAGATTGTGTGTTCCTGCATGGCAGATTGGGGTTGGACTGGATGGCTCTTGGTGTCTCTTCCAATTCTATGATTCTGTGATTCCTCTGCCTTCCCTCACTACTACTTCTGTGTGGCCAAGAGAAACACCTAGCTGCTATAGCACCAAGAGGATTCTTTCTCTCGTATAATTGTCTCTTATTCTTTGCAGCCTAGCAGACCGAAGTACAAGCCACCTCCTCAGACCAATCTCCTGGCCCCCAAGCTACAGTTCCAGGTAAGGCCTAAATGGCTCCCATAACTCAATGTGTGTTGAAGCTTGGTTTGGTCCCTCAATCCACATCTCCTCCTGAAAAAAGGACCACCCATGACTCCTTTGCAGTTGCCTTCGTCTTATGTCTCTCTGCCAGATTTACATAGCTGTTGTGTGTTTGTTCTTTCCAAGCCATTGGATCATGTCTTTTCCTTTGCTGCTGAATTTGTTGCAGCTGCTTGATGCTTCTCAGGATTTCTCCAGCAGCCAAAGCCACACTGTCTTTGGCAAAGTCCTAACTTTTCCGTTTATGGCTTTGCAATTCAGCCTCCAGAATCTGTTTTGTGATTTGTTCCAATAGGCTGAAACTTTACAAGCTAAAGAGTTGGGCATGACAAATCTATTCGTTGTGGATGTTTTTTGGTTTTTTAAAAAAAAAGAAAATTAATGAAGATAACAAATTTGTACGTATTTTTGCAAGACGTATTTTTGCAATGTGAGAAATCTGTATGCATTTTTGCAAGAATTGCACATGGCAAATTGTGTTTAGATTTTCTGCATCTCTGCAGTGTGATCACACAAGTGCACATTATATTTGTATAGAGGAGACCTATAATAAAATGTTGCAGCATGGCCATGCTCCTGGTTAGCATGCCAGCCAGCCATGGCCCTTTTCCAGGACTCATCCTTCCCTTCCTTCACCATAGTCCTTAATTCCTCCCCTTCCAAGATTCAAAATTTATTCCATGACCTATTCCATGACCTGTGGCCCACCTCAGCATGCTCAGGCTGTTTTATTGCAGGTCCATTGCTCCCTTACGTTTTATCTTTGGCACTTGAGAATTTGAAATTTTCAGAAGTATCCACAGAGCTGAGTTCATGGATCCTACATGTTTGCACATAGCTTAAGAGCTCCACATGTGGGAATCAATGACAATTTGTCCTGTCCTACCCCCAGGACTCACCATGGGCATTTTGTGGCTGCTGGAGAGCTGGAGGTATCAGAGAATGTCAGAGCCGCATACTATCTGTGGTCCTTCTCTATGAGTTCAGCAGTGCTGCCAGCACCTGTAACTGTGCAAAGTGCTAAAGAATAATTCAGAGTCTCCAAGTTCTATATACAGAACTTTACTACAGAGTATTTGCAGCACTGCATACAAACCAACAACTCTCCAACCAACCATCCACTACCAATAATAATAACCCACATTATCCATAGATCATGCTCATATTTATACTCTTTGTCCATAGGCTGAGCTTCTCCTACAGGTGTCTGCAATAGTTGTCTTCCATCAGTCACTTGCATCATGTCTGATGGGTCATCCTGGGTGTATATGGTGTGACTGATGACACTCCATGCCCAGTCACCATGATGCAACCTTTCACTTGTGTTGCATCATCCAGCATCCATATTATGTACAGTGAAATTTAATTCCATTTTTACATACGCTGACAGAGAAGCATCTAGCTTATGTTCTCCTAGCAGAGGTAGACCAAGAGAATGGCATCACCAGGTGGTGTCACCCCAAAGCAATATCTCATGCTATCACCCCCAGACTGCCTGGCACACCCTCCAGTTGCCTCCCTCCACCAGCCAGGCTGCCTCTTACATGGTAGAGTTGGGTGCTACTGCCACTTGGCAACCTCTTCTGGACCTGGCAGAGCTGCTGGTTGAGTTGGAAAGAAAGTTGCCTGCCTTAATAATAATAATAATAATAAATTTTATTTTTATACCGCCCATTGGTATATTGCCAGCAGCACCGCCAGATCCAGAAGGAGCTCCCCACCAGCAGCTACAGCCAACGAATGGCCAAAGCACCCCAAATGGCAGAGGGGGTCTTGGGTAGATGGGAGCGACCACCCCACTGCTGTTAACCCCCTCCTGAAGTGTCATCCCGGTGTGTTCCATATCCCTGCACCACCTTAGTGGTGCTCCTGGACCAAGAATATCTTCCAGATTTGCTGAGGATGGTGCGGTTATTCTGCATCGGGCTACGGGGACATAACCAGGTGCTTCCCCATTCCCCCTCTCCATCTGCCACTGAATGGCTGTGAGGACAGGGCTACACTGTGTTTTGTTTTGTGGTTGTTGTTTTTTTTATCAGAGGGTGGAAAAATAATTCCAACCTCCACAACAACCAAAGAAAGACATGTGCAGGCATAAGGTCGACTTCCATCTGCATGTGCCTCTCACAAGATGCCAACCTCAGTTTTAAAGGCTCTTTCACTAAAGGAAAAGGGAAAGAAATGAATTAAAACGGCCTCTCCTTTTTGTGCACTGGGCTTCACCACAATTGCTGCTGACAGCAAAGTGATTTCTGGTGCTGCTTCCAAGAGCTGGTTTGGAATTCATAAAAACTTTCCATGGCAAGAGATTCCAGCACCACTTCTCATCCAAAACAATGGAACAACACAGCAATAGCAATAGCAATAGCAATAGCAATAGCAATAGCAATAGCAATAGCAATAGCAATAGCAATAGCAGCTTCATTTATATACCACTTCATACCACCTAAGCAGTCTCTAAGCAGTTTGCAACTGTAAGCTAATTTCCCCCAGCAATAGCCTTCGTGATGCCAAGACAGTCTTCCCTTGAGGTTGTTTTCTAAGTGTGAACGTCTCCTTTCCAAACATGTGCTCGGTTTATGTGCACCTCTACTCCCGCTACGACTACCCCTTGCTGCAAATGCCATGCCTGTTGTTTTGTGCCCGCTGCTGCCTTTTGCTTCCGCCTTCCCAGGTGCCCGAGGGTCTGTGTGCCAGTTCGCCAACGCTCACCAGCCCCATCGAGTACCCGTCTCCTGCCAACTCTCTGCACACCCCGCCACTCAACAGGCACAATGTTTTCAAGCGCCACAGCATGAGGGTAAGAGGAGGCAGGAGGACCAGCCTCACGCCTAAAAAGGATGCATGCAAAGGAAGACATGTGTGGGTGTCTTTTCAAAGGTGCGTCTGGGGAGGTGGAAGGCAGGGTGACCAGATGGCATCACCACAAAGGAGGACAAGGCACCGCAAAATAGAAGACACTCAAGAGAAATGGGGGACATTAGAAAATAAAAACTAAAAGCACCAAGATCAATATAAATTCCTGCTTCTTAGCCATGCTCAAAATGGATGACATTTTGTAATTCCTCTTGGACAGAAGGCTGAAATGTCCTGGGAAAGGAGGACATCTGGTCACCCTGGTGGAAGGGATAGATTTGGTTGCCCTTTGCATAACACTAGGAGGGTAGAAGCAATTGTGTACCTAATCCTGCTCTGCATATATTGTTCGTTTCCACTCTGGCTGCATCTGCACTGCAGAGATAATGCAGTTTGACACTGCTTCGACAACTGTCATGGCTCCATCCTATTGAATTTTGGGATTTGTACTTTGTTGTAGCACCAGACAGAATCTCTGACAGGAGAAGGCGATATACAGTGGGCTCTTGGTATCCTCGGGGGTTTGGTTCCAGGGCCCCTCATGGATAACAAAATTTGTGGATGCTCAAGTCCCATGGAGTACAATGGGGTAGTAAAATGGTTTCCTTTATATAAAATGGCAAAATCAAGGTTTGCCTTTTGGAAATTTATATTTCTTGAATGTTTTCATAGATACGGAGAGTCGACTGTTTCTCACAAAAGTACAAATCCCAGATTTCCATAGCATTGAGCCATGGCAGTTAAAGTGGTGTCAAACTGCATTAATTTTCTGCAGTGTCGATGTAGCCTCTGTATCACAGAGTACATTTCCCGCAGGGCCGTTTTATGTCCCCCTAGAACCTTTCAGGGGTCAGATATTTGCCTCCAGATCCCCTCTAGTGATTCCCAAACTGGTCTTCCAGGTCTTTTGGACTTCAACTCGCAGAATCTCTGACCGTTGGCCATGATGGCTGAGGCTTCTGGGAGCTGAAGTCCAAAGCAACTGGAGGACTAGAGTTTGGGA